TTAAGAAAAGTATTCACCAATAAAAGCGTTACGATCAACAGTAATACTGTGCTTCAGGCGCGGATCCACGGTGGGGCGAAAGGGGCGATCGCCCCCCCCAACACACTTACTCACAGTGTAATGTTATGTATTAATATGTCTATGCCTTCATTGCTATAAGGTTTTAATTTACGAATCGCCCCCCCCCCAAATTTGCTTAACATGTTCAATAGTTTCGTGCATATGCAATAAAGAGAATAGGATGTGGAAGGGTTAATCAATGTAAACATTCGTAATACATTTCATACATTTATTCATTATGTAAAAAATTTTCACAATTATTATAAAAATCTTTCAATAAAATGTCATTTTCATGTCCTGCCCAAAAATCTGGAATACTAGTTCATATTATATAAAAGTTTTTGAAGTCAATTAATTTTCTTAATCACTCCTTCTACTTAAATTAATAATTCTTAGTCGCTAGAAATTCTCTGAAAAAATTTGGAAGAAGAATTAGAAGCAAAATGTCAGTGGTGTCCCTTGTCCGCACTTAAGAAATCAGAACTTTACTTAATAATAAAAATTGTTGATTCTGACATTTTTAGTACCAGAAAAATTATTTTGTACAGCTGAGAGTCTATATTTTTATATAGTAATTGTGCCAGCAGAATAATTTTGATCCAGTACGAGAAAAAAAATCAAAATCGCCTGTCCGTAAGTTTCATATTTTTAAGTAATTATCGCAAATTTTGAATATCATGTCTGATATTTAAATAACCTAGTGCAGATAATTGCCTTATTAAGCGTTAATAGTATTGGTGATATGTATAGCTTCTTAAAGAAAAAACATTGCAACATTCTATCACATCTACGGTTAGTGGCAGAAAGCAAGTATCACTTTGTCGAGCACACCATGTCAGTGGTGTCCCCATCAAAAAATTGCTCAGAATATTAATATTTTTTAAATATTATTGTATCTTGTTTTCAGGTATTACACGTACTTTAAAAACCGCACCGACTTTAACTTAAACATAAAGTCTTTCTTTTTCGAAAATGAGAAATAAAGCAAAATGTCAGTGGTGTCCCTTGTCAGTGGTGTCCACTCAAAATTCTGTTTCTTGCAGCTTATTATTTTATTTTTAATAAATTTGTGTTAAATTTACTCCTTATATGCAGTTAATGAAGATTTGATACAAGATTGTAATTTAAAAGCTGATTTTATTCTCACTATTCAAAAAAAAATTATCAGTGAAATCTTTTAAAAATGTCAGTGTTGTCCCTCAATGTTTATATGTCTTTTTGGTCTTCAAAAGTATATTAATTTATGGCAGAATTCATTACAAATATTTTTTAAGTCATGTTAAAACATTCATTATTGTAATTTGAAATATTTTAACTTTTTAAAGTTGTAAGAATTTATTTTAGAAAAGAATAAACGAAAACAGAAAATTTCTTATCATTTCTGCCTATCGTTTTTCACCTGGTGAAAATTAAAATTTGCTTCCACCTGCTCGACTACTATTATTTTTGTCCATCATTTATTCTAGTCAACCAAAATAGAGTATCGTTAAGTTCAAAATCCAACATCGAAAAATCAAAGTTAGTAGGATCAAAAATGACATTTTAAATTTAATCACCCATATACATTTTTAACAGCACAATTGCTGAAGCTATGCGTGTGGTTTGTACATGTGGATAAACTATCTACATCTAAACTTTTTAGCGACGGACATTTAAAATCATCTAAAATAAATACATTTAATGTATATTTTTTTAACCACTTTTGTTTTTCTAAACATTTTACATAAACAGTAGGTGTACCTATTAATGCTTCTTTTATTATAGGGGGCCGTTTAAAAATACGTAACGCTTTTGGGGGGTGGGGGGGGTCAAGCTATTTGTTACGGTCAGCAGAAAAAATGGCGCTAATGTATACAACATTGCGTTACATGGGGGGAGGGGGGGTCCAAATTTACAAAAAATAGCGTTACGTATTTTTTTAACGGCCCCTAGGTTCCAATTTTTCATAAGCAATGTCACCATTAGCCCAATAAATGCCATGATAATTATTTGTAAGCCATCGATTCTCACATTTGTATCTTGCAGGTAATCGGCTCCAGGCATATGGCGGCTCGAAGAGGTAGACCAATGGATGAGCATCTTAATGGAGTGGTAGAATCGCCAACTCTTTGATTACAAACTCGTTGTATGGTCTCTTAAAGCACTGAATATCTACGACGTACGCCATAGTGTCTGAAGTAGAGTAATGGCTCAAGCCTTAGAGAGATGCTCTCTTTATATCCTTTCCCCCACCACTCCAAATACCCCCACTACCGATGTCGTCTATGATTGGTCATTATTTCCACCAACCACGTTACTTTTTTAACAACGCCGCTGATTGGTGTATACTGTATAATGAGGTCGTGAATTATAAAGCAATATGTAGCTGTATTGGCTGGAGAATTTACACTTGCTTCAAATTTCAATTGCACATCTACAGATGCTTGTTTTAGAAATTCGTTTTGTTTTGAGCAATCAATAACAGCCAATGGTGCATAATCTTTAAAGTTATTTCTAGTTAATAAAGGTTCAGATTCTTTTCCATAGTAGGATGGTTAAAAATTACAATACATTTCATATAGTATGGAAAATTTGTTTTGAGTAAAATTTAAATTTAAATTTCCATAAGGATAGTACTGTGAGTTTAAGAAAAGTTTAACATTGAGAAGATTACATACAGGCATAAAATAAATTTGCTTACCTTCCTTGATCTTCTTTTCGATTTGTTTGAAAACCAAGAATAACATATCGAGGTTTTTCAACTTGTGTTGAAGTTTTTACAGTCCACACATGCTTTTGAGTGGCAGGAATCATAGGATACTCATACAAATCCCATGATCTAAAACTCATTGTTATAAGTAAGTCTTTTTCAATGAATTTCAATAATTCAATTTTTTGTCGATCATTTACCATTAAATATGGAATTAACCATTCAATTTTATTAATTATAATTCTAAATTCTTCACGCTCAGCTGCTCCAATGTTTACCACAGCATTTTGATCAGTACGAGATCTTGTTAAAATAAGTTCATGTTTTGCATTTACAATAATCTTTCGATACTCTTCAGCAAAACCAATAATCATACTTAGTGGAATATTTACATCAAAATATCCAGCATCATTTGTCACTCTACTATCATTATCATAAGGTAGATAAACAGCATTTTCAGAGTAAATCATTTGATTAGGTGTTTGAGAAATTGTATTTTTCATTGTGGTTGTAATACCAACATTTTTAGAGGGATCAATTTCAACACCATTTAATTCATAACGAATCTCACTAAACAGGTAGGAAATTGTATTGTAAAATTGTATTGTGAAATTGTATTGTATTGTTAGGCTTAACAATTCTGCCAGTGACGTGTAGAGTACTTTTAGAGGGAAGAATGTACAAGTCTTGATGTTAAACTGCAATTCGAATCTCGTCACTATTATTAAATGCTGATGACACGTATGGTTGATGTGCATGAATCTCGTAGTGTGCCACAGAATTATCAAATTTAACTGGACTTAAAATGTTTAAAATTTTCTCCATTTTTATTACAACAACAAATAAAAAGTATGTGAAAAATTAATTTTTTCCTTTGTTTTCCTGATAAACTCTTAGACCGAGCTGCTTCAAAAATAGTATGTTCTGAGATGTTAGTCTCTTGCGAAATGATTGAGGAATGAATGACTTCTGACATGGCAACTCTTTTATATAGCTTTCACCAGTTTTTCTAAGAAATACAATTCCCATTACGTTGATTTAACGTATAATCGAATTGTTATAGTTTCACCTCTAAAATTTATTAAATCTCCGTCTTATTCAACGATTCTTATTTGAATATTATGTATTGTCTTCACGGCGATTGGAAGGTAAATGACGTGAGATGGAACTTCCACAATCTTATATCCAGCTGGAACAAATGGAAAAAATTCGTAAATTGTGTGTACCTTTTTATTATTTATGTATACACCAGTAGTAATGTTAAATTCAATTCTGATAGCATTTGCCTTAAGAATGGCTACTGGTTCATCCGACGTACGAGGCTTATTAGCTGTCAATATTCGTGGAGTAAATCCTAATAATTTACCAATTGAATCGTTTTGTTCAAAACTCACTTCAAGGCTGCTTGTTATTTCACTACGTAAAGTATTATTGTTAGGTTTGATTCTTACAATTTCAGATCCATTTTCAATAGAGCTTTGAATATATTTTTCAATATCTTCAATTTCATAACTTCCAGGGGGAATAGTAATCACTTTATCACCAATTTAAAATTTATTTTTACCTTGATCAATATAAGGAATTGAATTGAAGGTTAGTAATTCAACTAAGCCAAGTACATAATTTTTATTAGATAATAATTCTATCGGAGGAAAATATTCTGCTTACAGGGTAGATGAATTGCCTGAGATAGTCAGAGTAAAAGATTCTTCCATGTTGATGACTTTTTATTAACTGATTAGGTGGAATGACTTACAATCACTTGTATAGAATATATTTTTAAGTTATTTCAAGCTGTCCACATAAGAATTTCAAAAATAAATGACCACAATTAAAACTGTTATAATCTTGATAATTTTGATGCTTATACTGTATTAAAGTATTATAACCTAAGTAATTGACAAGTTCATAGGGTGGTTGAAGATTACCAAAACTATCAAAGTATACTGCTTTATTATTATCCATTATTATTATTATTATTATTATTATCCATTAGATGCCGCTTGTAAAGAGCACGATATTGCTTACTCGAAAAGTCGAGAAAACGTTAAAGAAAGAAACGCTGCTGATAAAGTATTAGCTGATAATGCGTGGCAACGTGTATTTGCTCCAGACGCAAGATATAGTGAAAGAGCTGCAGCTTCCGCAATAACAAACGCTATGAAAGCGAAATCAAAATTTGGAATGGGAGTAAAGAAGAAGAAGACAAAGTGAAAAAAACGAATAAAGAAGATAAAATAAAAAAACCAGAATGAAAAATACAATTTCTCAAACACCTAATCAAATGATTTACTCTGAAAATGCTGGTTATCTACCTTATGATAATGATAGTAGAGTGACAAATGATGCTGGATATTTTGATGTAAATATTCCACTAAGTATGATTATTGGTTTTGCTGAAGAGTATCGAAAGATTATTGTAAATGCAAAACATGAACTTATTTTAACAAGATCTCGTACTGATCAAAATGCTGTGGTAAACATTGGAGCAGCTGAGCGTGAAGAATTTAGAATTATAATTAATAAAATTGAATGGTTAATTCCATATTTAATGGTAAATGATCGACAAAAAATTGAATTATTGAAATTCATTGAAAAAGACTTACTTATAACAATGAGTTTTAGATCATGGGATTTGTATGAGTATCCTATGATTCCTGCCACTCAAAAGCATGTGTGGACTGTAAAAACTTCAACACAAGTTGAAAAACCTCGATATGTTATTCTTGGTTTTCAAACAAATCGAAAAGAAGATCAAGGAAGGTAAGCAAATTTATTTTATGCCTGTATGTAATCTTCTCAATGTTAAACTTTTCTTAAACTCACAGTACTATCCTTATGGAAATTTAAATTTAAATTTTACTCAAAACAAATTTTCCATACTATATGAAATGTATTGTAATTTTTAACCATCCTACTATGGAAAAGAATCTGAACCTTTATTAACTAGAAATAACTTTAAAGATTATGCACCATTGGCTGTTATTGATTGCTCAAAACAAAACGAATTTCTAAAACAAGCATCTGTAGATGTGCAATTGAAATTTGAAGCAAGTGTAAATTCTCCAGCCAATACAGCTACATATTGCTTTATAATTCACGACCTCATTATACAGTATACACCAATCAGCGGCGTTGTTAAAAAAGTAACGTGGTTGGTGGAAATAATGACCAATCATAGACGACATCGGTAGTGGGGGTATTTGGAGTGGTGGGGGAAAGGATATAAAGAGAGCATCTCTCTAAGGCTTGAGCCATTACTCTACTTCAGACACTATGGCGTACGTCGTAGATATTCAGTGCTTTAAGAGACCATACAACGAGTTTGTAATCAAAGAGTTGGCGATTCTACCACTTCATTAAGATGCTCATCCATTGGTCTACCTCTTCGAGCCGCCATATGCCTGGAGCCGATTACCTGCAAGATACAAATGTGAGAATCGATGGCTTACAAATAATTATCATGGCATTTATTGGGCTAATGGTGACATTGCTTATGAAGAATTGGAACCTAGGGGCCGTTAAAAAAATACGTAACGCTATTTTTTGTAAATTTGGACCCCCCCCTCCCCCCATGTAACGCAATGTTGTATACATTAGCGCCATTTTTTCTGCTGACCGTAACAAATAGCTTGACCCCCCACCCCTCAAAAGCGTTACGTATTTTTAAACGGCCCCCTGTAATAAAAGAAGCATTAATAGGTACACTTACTGTTTATGTAAAATGTTTAGAAAAACAAAAGTGGTTAGAAAAATATACATTAAATGTATTTATTTTAGATAATTTTAAATGTCCGTCGCTAAAAGTTTAGATGTAGATAGTTTATCCACATGTACAAACCACACGCATAGTATCAGCAATTGTGCTGTTAAAAATGTATATAATCTACGAAATTGGTTGATACAACCATCGAATATACTACGAAATAATATGGAAAAGATTGATGAAATTGACAATGATTGTACATTGAAAGATTTTTATAATAATTGTGAAAATTTTCTACATAATGAATAAATGTATGAAATGTATTACGAATGTTTACATTGATTAACCCTTCCACATCCTATTCTCTTTATTGCATATGCATGAAACTATTGAACATGTTAAAACTTGTATAGACCTGTCTTATGACGTCACAAAGTAGGCGTGGCTCAATAAATAAAAGTGGGGCAATGCATATTTGGCAATGTCATATTTAAGTATAAATTAAGGGATCTCAACCGACTTAGTCATACTGTTTTGTGACTTCACAAAGTAAATTATCTCTAAGAAAAGATGGATTTAACCAGAATCAACGCCATTGGTCGCATGGAAGCTTTCCTACCGACGAAGCCGCTTTCCGAGCTGACTCCTGGACATAAGTATCCTATAACGAAGATCAAGGTTGTCAACACCAGGTATGGAGTCAAGGTCGTCGTTGAGGTGGATAAAAAGTTCAATACATTCCTACCTTTAAGATTTGTACCAATGTTCACTGAAGACTCGATATGCTTGGACCAAATGCAAAAAGCTATTAGTTCTGGACTATTACGGCTTAGGTATATTGGTGGTCCATACAACCATATTGAATTTAAAGTAAAACAAGTGTAAATATTGTATATTGAATATAATAAATGTATAAAATGTTATTAATACTGTATTTAATTAACTCTGATTCTTCTCCACTAAAATAGGTTTTTTTCCAGATTTTCTTTTTAATGTAAGTTCATTTAAGGAGTTATATACAGTCACGATTTTCAAAAAATCGATTTTTTTGCATTTTCTTCAGGTATATATATTTGCCTGTTGTGAAAAAAAATTTTATTAAGATTCGAGAAATATTTTCGAAGTTGCAGACAAAACTAGAAAGGCGCGCCGCGGTGTGTAGAGTAGGTGCAGCGTCTTTAAGGGGTTATATATAGTCACGATTTTCAAAAAATCGATTTTTTTTGCATTTTCTTAAGGTATATATATTTGCCTGTTGTGGAAAAAAATTTATTAAGATTCGAGAAATATTTTCGAAGTTGCAGACAAAACTAGAAAGGCGCGCCATGGGGTGTAGAGCAGGTGCAGCGTCTTTAAACTCGCTTTTCTCAAAACTATGTTTTTCAAGTCGGTGAACACGATTTCTCAAAAACCGCTGAACCCATTTAGCTCTAATTTTCACACAAGCTCAACAACTACTTTTTGCTGTCCTTGATCGTTGGTTTTTAAAATAAAATTAAAATTATAATTTTAATCAACATTTGAAGACGATTTTTTTTTATAAAAATGAACTTTTTTTTTCTTTGGCTGCCATTTTGTCAAAAAGTAATATTCTTTAATTCTAACGATCAAAGACTACATTTTCTCATACACTAACAGAGTCTATTTAACTTTTTGATCTCAGATGATTCTATCAATTGTTATCTTGTTCACCGCGGGGCACTTTTTTGTGGATCTTTGGGAGATAAGCTACAGAGGCAAAAAAATAATATTTTTACAAATGAAATATATTTTTTTAAACTTTAAACGATGTTAAACATTATAGGATAACTTTCGCTTTAATAAGTAAATATTCCTTTTAAAAAAAAATCCCGAAAAACTGCATTTTTCCGACCGCCTGACTGTATATAACCCCTTAAGGTATTAGTCGCGTGAAAATGGTTTCCGTCAGATTTGTTTCAAATTTTGCATAATTATTCCTGAAATATTTATCTACATAATGAGACCAATTTCATTAATTTTGACCGTTTCAAAAGTTCAAAAAATGAATTCAAAGTTCATACGTTTTGCATATAGAGAGCACCCAATGCATGTATTGAATTTGTTTAATAATTATTTATATGATAACTAATCGTCAGATTTTGAAATAAAACTGCCAAAGTATTCAATTAGGTAAAACAAATGCATAAAAAAATCATGACATTTTTTGACCCCACCAAACTATAAATATATTAACAGAAAGTTAAAAAAGAATTAAATTATATGATCTTTTATACGAACGAACAGAGTGGGGAATTAAACTGTCTCTCTCACTCTCACTGCCCCACTCTTGTAAGCGGCCCAGTAAACTTTTGGCCAGAGCCAGCAGCGCGACTAATACCTTAAAGAATATAGAAGAAGAATATCAAAATCCGATAAAATTTGTAGGCTCTGGATAATTTTGAACAGTAAATTGTAAAAAAATCCCACTGTGACGCATGCGAGTGACCTGCACGGGCAGCTTAATTATTTATTTAAGGGGACATTCCAGTTCAAAATGTCAAAAAAATCGATTTTTTTTTGTTTTTATTTTCGGATTTCTTATAGTGTCAAGAATACACTCCTAAAATATTATTGCAAAATTCGAAGTAAAACAAAAGTTGTACATCCTTATTCTTCGCCATGTCAAAGATGTTTTTGTATGCGGATAAGCAATCGAATGATTTAAATGTTTTCTCATTTGCATTTTTTAAAAAAGACAAACAAAAATGTATTTGGTGTTGCTGATCACAAATTAGATATTAAATTTTCAAAATTCAAAATGGTGGATCCAATATGGCGGAAAAGAAAATTTTTTTATTTTAATTTTTTTTTCTTTAATTTTTTTTCGTCCACCATATTGCATCCGACATTTTTAATTTTGAAAAAATGATGTCATATTCGTAACCAGCGACCCCAAAAACCCCCTCGTAACGATTTTCAAGCAAATCCAATGATTTAAAAAAAAAATGTCCGCCATATTGGATCCGCCATTTTGAATTTTAAAAATCTGATTCCATATTCGTAATTAGCGACCTCAAAAACCCCTAAGTTACGATTTTCAAGCTAATCCGATGATTTTTGTTTAAATTTCGAAACTTATAAACAAAAACTTTAAATGTGTCACGCTGTGGGTTATGTTTTTAATTTTTTAAGTAATAATACAGAAAGAGAATCAATTATTAATTAAAAATTGTTGGTTTTCAAGTCTTCATTATATTCAAAATATTTAATAAAAATTGGTTTCAAATTCAAATAATTGAAAATAAACTTTTAATCAAGATAAATCTAACACGAACCCAACCTATAATTCGTTTGCTTCTTAGGTACCTTTCTTGGGAGCGCGTCACAAATGCGTTTTTCTCAACATGTCTTTTTATGATCTCGTAAGAGTGATATCTCGAGTTCTTCTAAAGCAATTTTAAAAAATCAAACGGCTTTTGATTCAGCGTCATCATGTCTATAAGTGGAACCTCAAAAACTGGAAAATTTCCAACTCCCTTTTTTTTATAAGAGAAATTCTGAATAAAAAACACTTTTTTTGCATATTTTGGGGAAAAAGTACTCTAAAAAAAAGGGGGGAAAAAAATTCCACTTTTTTGAGGTTCCACACCTAAAGAAATATCTAACGAAGAGAATGTCACTTCGTTTTTGGTTTTATCTGTTTTAGAAAGTTTGGAATCGATCTTACCACCGAAAATGGGCATATTCAAAAATGGCGTATATCGCTGCCATTTTAAAATAAAAATAATAAAATTTTTTTTTACAAATTCTTAAATAATTTATTTATTACATATAAAAGAAATTTTTTAAATAAATGTCACAGTTATTTTAATAATATATACTAAAAAAGCCTTCTTTTTGCCTGTTTTGAACTGGAATGTCCCCTTAAACCCATCAAACTGTCCATTATTTCACAAGCGAATAGTTTTGTCATAGACTAGTGTATACCGATATACATTCAAAGTACGCTCCTGTTTTGTCGCGTGGGGAGGTTCGGGGGGTCTCCCCCTGACGCACAGTGTGCCTTTTTCTAAAAATGTGTTCAAAACCTATAGTATCTC